TATTAAAGATAGGTTGAGTATGTGGCAAAAATGGAGGCAAATAAACAGTATGCAATAGAGACCATGGATGGAAATGGGAGATTTCAATTCAGTACTTAATAGTCAAGATAGACGACATGGTACTGTAATACAAGATATGGAAACAAAAGATTTCAAGGAATTCATGAATGACACTAGCATGAACGAATTACCTACTGTTGGTAGAGACTATACATGGACAAATAATCATACTTATAGCAGGATAGACAGGGGAATAGTTAACACAAACTGGATGATGACAATGCTTAATCTGTATACACTGATCGTAAAACCATCTTTCTCTGACCATTCCCCCCTTAAGCTGATGATCTCACAAATGCAGAGGAAGAAAGCTAGTTTGTTTAGGTTTTTTAACTGCCTGGCTGATTATCCCCAATTCCTACTAGAAGGGGAATAAACATGGAGTACAACTGGAGATACTGAAAACCTACAAGGAGTGTGGAACAAACTCAAGAGAGTTAAACAAGTCATTAACATCCTTAACACACAACAATACAAAGGTGTTGATGGCAGAATCAATGAAATCAGAAGGGAACTACAGGAAGTGCAGGAGAAAACTAGCTGTAGAAAGATGAATAAAGAATTAGTCGAGAAAGAAAAGGAACTGAAAAGTAACCTAGAGAAGTGGATACTGATTAAAGAAAACATCTAAAGGCAAATGTCAAGGGTGCAATGGCTGAAGTTGGGAGATTCTAATTCTGCATATTTCTTTGCACATATGAAGAACAAGAACACTTTAAATGGAATCCGTAGTCTCACTACTAATCTAGGGGTTCAGGTACACATGGAGGAGGAAATAGAGGTTGAAGTACTTGGCTACTATAAATAGTTGCAAGGGTCAAATGCTCATGCAATCCCAGCAATAGATCCAAATGTAATGCAAAGAGAGGCAATTCTCAATAGAGAACAACAACTTCAATTGATACTACCTGTTACAAGGCAAGAGGTATGGAAAGCTCTACAAGGTATAGATGGACTCAATGCAGTCTTCTTCAAGAAATCATGGAATATCATAGGGGAGGAGGTAACACAAGCTGTACTGTATTTCTTTCAATCATCACAGATGTTCAAACCAGTTAATTGTACCCCAATAACTCTAATACCCAAAGTCAGGAACCCTGCTACCAAAAAGAAGTATAGACCTATTTCCTACTGCACTACAATCTACAAAATCATTTCAAAGGTTCTCACTAGTCGACTACAAGGAGTTATGGATGATTTAATAGATAAGACTCAATCTACTTTTGTTCCTGGTAGAGTTATTATTGATAATATCATACCGAGTCATAGGCTAGTAAAAGGGTATGGGAGAAAAGGGGTGTCACCAAGATGCATGATGACGCTGGACATGCAGAAGGCATATGACTCACTTGAATGGCCTTTTCTTGAACAAGTATTACGTGCCTTAGCATTTCCAGAGAAATTTGTGAAATGGATAAACTTGTGTACAAAGTGTTATTTACACCATCATCTTAAATGGTTCACCAAATCAACCATTTGAGGCTAGGAAAGGGCTTAGACAAGGGGATCCCCTATCCCCTTTCCTATTTGTACTAGCAATGGAGTACCTCAACAGAAGATTGAAGGCATTGCACTTTATCCCGGACTTCAACTTTCATCCCAAATGTGCAAAGATGCAGATCATGCAACTTGGATTTGCAGATGACCTTTTGTTATTTTGCAGAGGAGATACAATTCTAGTTCAGCTGCTATACAAGTGTTTCCTGGATTACTCAAAAGCATCAGGACTGGAAATTAATAAGAAGAAAAGTTCCATCTTCTTTGGTGGTGTTTCACAAGATATTCAAAAAGAAATATTAGAGTTCCTTGGCATTCCAAGAGGGGAGATGCCAGTGAGATATCTTGGAGTACCTTTAAGCTTTAAAAGAGTGTCAATAACTCGGGCCAACCTCTAATTGAAAAATTAGTAGATAGAATCACATCCTGGACAGCCAAATTATTATCATATGCAGGGAGACTGCAACTCATCAAAAGTGTCCTATTTTTCATTCAAATTTTCTGGGCTCAAATCTTCATGCTACCAAAAAAGATTACCAGAATGGTAGAGGCAATTTGCAGGAGTTTTTTTATGGACAGAGAGTAACACTATTTCAAAGAAAGCTCGCCTAGCTTGGGAGAAAGTCTGTCAGCCTAAGTCAGCAGGTGGTTTCAATGTAATAGACATAGCCCTATGGAACAAAGCAGCCATCAACAAGCAGCTATGGAACCTATGCAAGGAGAAGAATAAATTATGGATCCAATGGGTGCATGTATGGGAGGTGCAACCTAACCAAGCTTCATGGATTATGAGGAAGATTCTATACTCCAAAGAGAACTTTGAGAAGGCAGGCTACACCTACAAAAGTCTAATGCAGATGCAACCTTGCACCATCAAACACATATGCCATAAAAACTACGAGGAGACTTCAACAAAGTGAGTTGGAGGAAGTTGGTATGCGACAATGTAGGTTGTCCTAAGTGGATATTCACGCTAATATTGGTGGCTCATGGTAGGCTATACACAAAGGATAGGTTGCCAAAATGGGGCATTCATAATGATCAACTATGTCCTTTATTTTCACATGCAAATGAATCCGTTCAACATCTATTCTTTGAATGTCAATATGCTGTTGTACTATGGAAAAGACTGATCAACTAGCAAGGTATCTACAGGAACATCTATGGCTGGTTTGAGGAATTACTTTGGGCAGAGAACTGGGCTAGAAACAGAAGCGCAAAAGCTGAATTGTTCAAAGTTGTGCTAGCAGGCTGCATGTATTTTGTGTGGCAGGAGAGTAATGCAAGACTCTTTCAAGCCAAGTCGAGGAATTGTGAGACACTTAGCAAATTAATTATACAAGAAGTGCATTGTCGAAGCAACAGGAAAATAGAGAAAATACTGAACAGATTGGACTACTATCCGATGTAGTAGTTAGTGACTATTAGAAGGGTTGTAGAAAGAATGTATAGGGAGGGAAGGGAAGTACAGTAAAGTTTTGTGAGGGTTCTGTCTCAATTTGTTAATACTTTTTCCCTGATATATATAAAAATTTAATTACAAAAAAATTTAGTATAAGTTGACATGAATATCCAATGCATTTCATCATATCAAAATTTTATATTCCCTTTTGTCTTTTTAAAGGAATGAGAAAAGAGACATGACTTTACATCGACGTTGGGGCAAGTGGTCGAACGTGTAACTAAGATGACAATTGAGTAGAAGCATAACTCAAAGAAAAAGACAATTTCACATATTATATAAAGAGTATTTCTCACATCGAAAACTTCCTAGTTTATTAGCAGCAAATCACAAAATCTTATGGCAAAATTTTGACAGTTCATATGTTAGTTCCCACAGGGGGTGCACAAACAGATCCTTGTCAGCATCATTAGCATCCATCTTTACTTTCTTATTTTCTCAACCATTCTTCTCCTAGTGTTTGCTCTAACCATGACATCTAGGACCTACCTTGTATCGTCAGTCATCGTACGAGAAATTCAGTACAAATTTTTTTTTTTTTTTTACTGATTAAAAAGAAAAGAGTATTACCTAAATTAGGACATAAAAAGAAATAAATTTATTTTACTATTCGCTTCGAGATTTCAAAAACTAGTCATTTTAACAAAATTACTTCATAATATTTAATATTTTAGAAAAATAAAAAGAAATTATTAGGAGTATTTCCTTTTTGAATTTATTCTTCTTGTCCAGTTAATCAGTGCTAATTACGATATATATGTGTGAGAGAGAAAAAACCTAATTTACAAATTAAAATTACCAAAAGTCTATTAAGGATGATACAGGCGGGAGTAGTTGTAATGTTATAATTAGGTACCACATTAATTAAAAAATTTCCGAATAGTCACATTTTCAGTCGTTGTTGGCTTAAAGAAAAGCTCATTTTAACATGTTGTATATTTGTAGGTGCACTATATTGGAAAAGGTATTCTACTGACTCAAACTTAATAAATGTTAAACTTCATTTTTTATGTTGGACAGACTATAACCAACATTTTATTCCATTTTTCATGAAAATTTATGTATGGTGAGCTTTTTGTTATATAGAAAAAGCAACTGAAATATAAATAAAGTAGTGGAGTATAAAATAAATGACACAAATAAAGATGTGTTTGTTTACCACAATATAATTACAATACAATTTTAATGTCATGTATTGATTGCAAGTATGATTAAATAACTAGATATATTTTTTTTTTTAAAAATATAGAAACTTAGGAAAATATAATACTCACTCAGTTCATTACCATCCCGGCATCACCAAAGCACCAGCCTACAAAGTACTAGTATACTTATCTACAAATGCAATAAGAAGAGAAAAAAATTTAAAAAGCAAGAAGGATAATATGAGAAGTTTTAACCTAAATAATTCATTATTTAAAAGAGTTAACAAAAATAATATAATATTTTGAAAATTTCAAAAATAGAATAAAAGTATTCTTGAGTAACATTTTCGTTCAAAATTTTAGACCAAAAAGCTGATGACCGATAGGGTAAACAGAAATATAAAATTTTATTGCAAGTAACACTTTATTATTTTGTTACTCGCAATAAAAACACTTCAAAAATGCCCTTCTATGGTGGAAAAAGTAACGAGATAGCATGTCATGTGGCGCCCGCCTCTGTGAAATGTCAGGCCAGGTAGAAAGGTACTATTATAGTAGAAGAGGAGTATTTTTTTCATCAATTTTATAATATACCAAAAGTATAACAACTGATATAAATGGTATTTTTGTATAGTAGAAGAATTTTTGACCCTTTTCCCTATGGTCTAACCAATCTTGGGCGATAATATTTAAGACCAAATATAACACTCACAAATAAACACGTAATAAAGAAAGAAAAGAAAAGGGCATGAAAGGAACAAAATGTTACTCTGTTACAGTGAAAAATTGGAGGGTCGCAAATGTCCATGTTGGTTCAGCTACAAATGTCCTGATAAATTGCAGACTTGCGAAGACAAAGTATTAGGAGAGAGAGAGAGAGAGGAAGAAGAAGAAGAGAGAGAGAGAGAGAGCAGATCCATAAGAAAAACCCCTCACTCTCTCTTCTTTCTTTTCTCAATCCTCACTTCATTTCACAGCTAAACAAAAAGACTCTTATCTTTATACTTTTGTCACCATGTTCTCCTTGAATGGAAGCAGTTTTACGGTAATATTAACTCAGATTCTGATTTCACCTCAGATTTCTTCTCCATAGTCATAGACACTCATCTTCTTTTCTCCACAAAAAAAAAAAAAAAAAAAAAAACTAGTCTTCGTTACTGGATAATTCGTGATTTTAGATTGTTTGGACCATACCCATTTTCATATATTTTAACTTAAGAAAATTCTATGGATATATGTTTTGCTTGGTTCATGAACAGTTCTTGATTCGGATTGATTTAGACCAGACCCATTTTTCTATGTTAAATCCCATATTTATAATTGAGCTAAAAATTTGTTCTTTGGACAAATTTTGAGTTGCCATAGAGAAAAAAAACCAAGATCAGGTTATATAATAAAGTTTATTATTTTGCAGAACAATTCGCTATCTGGGGTTTCAAGATGTGTGACTCAGTCAAGCAGAAGAGGAGCTTCAGGTCCTATGGTAGTAGTAGCAGCTGTGAATTCAAATGGTAAACCAGGAGACAGAAATGTGAGTGTTTTGGTGGAGAATTCTATGAAGGAAAGTGCTGCTGCGCCGGTAGAGAAGGAAATTAAATCTACTGTGACAGGTGGAGTTGGTGATGTTTATGGTGAGGATAGTGCCACTGAAGATCAGTCCATCACCCCTTGGACCCTCTCTGTTGCTAGGTGATAACATTACATCTTTTGATTATGTTTCGATAATTACTATGCTTTGGTTATCAACTCAGGATTTGGATGTGTTTTTAATTAGAAGAATCAACCTAAATAGCCGTTCACCCACCCGCTTAACAGCTTGTTTGAATGGTTTTTACCTATTGTATTGTATCGTACTGTTACTTTAAAAAGCTAAAATATCGGAGGATGTATACTGTATGTGAGATCCATCTATAATACAGTCAAACCTCCTTGTAACAGCCATCCTTTATAACAAAACTTCACTATAACATCCAAATTTTCTTTGGTACCATTTTTTCATGTAATGTTATAATACAAGTTATCTATAACAACACTTTACTATAGCAGCCAAAAATTGTCGGAACAGACGAGGCTGCTATAGAGAGGTTTGACTGTATATGTATAACCGTGTATACTTAGTGTTTAATCTATAGGAAAAGTAAACAGTGAATTCGGCTGGCTATTTGCTTAAATATCCTTTTTAATTACTTGAATCAATCAATCAACTATGTGTCAATCTGAAACTGAATGGCTGTCCATATAAATTCTCTGTACATTCTGTTATATTTGAACCCATTTCATTCCAATACATATTAGGGGTTGTCTAGTTTTAGAGGCACTTCTACTATGATCTTAAAAATTTTGAGCTTTAATCCAACTAGGCTTAAAAATCTTTGTACACATTTGCATGATCTTTGGATTTTTGTCATTCAATAACGGCACTTGCCATTTTCTTCTGTTCTTTTATTGGTAAATTAAAATCTATTGGTGAGGAAAAAATTAATAATTTTTTTTATGTAACCGTTTTTGGTATTATTAGTCTTAAGAGCTAATGGCACTTATTCATTGAAATACTCTGTTCTTTTGCTTGCAGTGGTTACTCATTGTTGCGTAATCCGCACTACAACAAAGGGCTTGCTTTCAGTGAGAAAGAGAGAGATTCCCACTACTTGCGTGGTCTTCTTCCTCCGGTCGTTGTTAACCATGACCTTCAGGTTGTGTATACTGCATTTTGCAGTCCTATGGTTTCTGTGTCTCCTTTCTTTTAACAACATTGTTGTGCCACCCCTTGTGACAGGTCAAGAAAATGATGAACAATCTCCGTCAGTATGAGGTACCACTGCAAAGATACATAGCCATGATGGATATTCAGGTAGTCAAACAAATGATTTTGCGGCTCTAAATACTTTCTGCAATTATGCTGTTCTTGCATCGGCTCCTTTAAGTTATACTACTAAGTTGTGGAGAACACAGATGATTAGGGTACAATAATCTTTGAAGTGTGATGACATTGAGACATGTAAACCATTTGTTTGTTCAGCTCAACTCCAGACATCCTTCTGCACGTGTATGGATGGCTTCGTAATACTCTTGTTTGTTGTTGTATGCATTTGTGTAGGAGATGAATGAAAGGCTTTACTACAAGCTTCTTATGGACAATGTTGAGGAGCTGCTTCCTATAGTTTACACTCCAACTGTAGGTGAAGCATGCCAGAAATATGGCAGCATCTTCAGGCGTCCTCAAGGTCTTTTTATCAGCTTGAAAGAAAAGTAAGCGATAGAAATTCACTAGATAGCTTCTCAAATTAATGGCTTGAGACCTTTTATTTCTTGTTAAACTATTCTGTGCTAACCTTTTGCAGAGGCAAAATTAACGAGGTATTAAAAAATTGGCCTGAGAGGAAAATTCAAGTTATTGTTGTTACTGATGGAGAACGAATTCTGGGCCTTGGTGACCTTGGTTGCCAGGTATAATGCGTATTCACTTTTTTGAAATTCCTAAAGCCATTTTTAGGGACAAAAAAATCCTGTCTGTTTAACTAATCCAGTTCTTTTCAGAACCTATAAATTATTTTCCATGTATACTGCAAATGTATTTCTCTGACATTGAAAACATATTATAACAATATTTATGTCTTACCAGGGAATGGGGATTCCAGTAGGCAAGCTCTCTTTATACACTGCTCTGGGAGGCATTCGTCCATCAGCTGTAAGTTTCTGTAGGATAGATGTAACAGTAGTTGGAATTGAGATGATACCTTTATTTCACAAATACTATTGTACTTATATGGAGTTTGGATAATTCACTTTATCACTCTATCCGCCAACACCTTGCCATACACTCGTATTATGGGGTTAGTTGTTTAAGGTTGTGAACTCCTCTCAATTGATGTTTGACAAATGAACCTGCAATTTGAAAATGGATGTTTTAACTTTATAGTCTGAGCGGCTTCGTATCGTTTTGTTATCGTCACCTCACATAGCACACTGTAATAGCACTCCGCTGTATATGCTATGTGCACATGGTGCTTAAAAATCATGTATTTCCTATGTCCCAATTTGTGGGACACTTACTATTTGGAGAGTCAACAATTTTTTTCTTCGACAACAAAGAAAAGTCTAGAACACAAAGTATCTCGCGTTCATGTAGGATCTGGGGAAGGACCGTCCCCAAGGGGGCGTGATGTAAGCAGCCTATTCTAACACAACATTAGTGGTTCATTCCACGGCTCAAACCCGTGAACTGCAGGTCATACGGAGACAACTTTACTGTTGCTCCAAGGCTCCCCTACAAAAGAGGAACACAAGCCTGAGAGATTTGAACTCTCGCAGGGAAACCCCATGTACTTGGCAGGCACACACCTTAACCACCCAGCCAAAGAGACACTTCGAAAGGGCAGCACAGTCACAAAGCATCGCGCATTCACGCAGGTTCCGGTGAATGGCCGCACCCGAGGGGGTGTGATGTAGGCACACAAAAAGTATCTAAATATTTCTAACAACAAAAATTGTAATTTATAATACTGTTGATCTAGTTTCTGAAAATGTGAATTTTATATCAAAAACATTAAGGACCCTCATACTCCAAATTCTGCCATTCATTGAGACGGTGGGAGTACAAGGTTTATCAGTCACATAATCTTATCTGGTCGCTCTTTGCCTTGTCTGCCTATCAGATTAGATCAATTGAAAGCTTGACTATCCTCTCGTTCTTTTCAGTGCTTGCCCATTACCATTGATGTGGGTACAAACAACGAGGATTTGTTGAACGATGAATTTTACATTGGACTCAGGCAAAGAAGAGCTAGAGGACAGGTTCAGAAATTTATATTTGATCATGCTCACTTTGCACTACATTCTATAGAAGATGGAGTATTTGCTTAATGTACTTTGTTTAATCATCTTTTCCATATTCAGGAATATGCCGAACTTTTTGATGAATTTATGTATGCTGTCAAGCAGAATTATGGGGAGAAAGTGCTCATTCAGGTAGACGTTCTCTGGCATAGTTGCAGATATGTGCAATTAAATATTTTAATTGATAATCTAACTTTGTTTATCCACATCTCTAGTTTGAAGACTTTGCAAATCATAATGCATTTGACCTCCTTGCAAAGTACGGAACTAGCCACCTTGTTTTCAATGATGACATACAGGTAAGTCAAGGACTCATAAATTTGTCATTTTTCTTTTTTT